TCACTTCAATAAACACTCAGATTCTTTGCATACAATGACACAATCACGTTATGTATCTGAGAACTAACATTTTCTATGTATCTTTTATATATTTATATTGAAACGAATTGTTCGAACACTTATAGAAATTTGAATTTTGGTTCGAATTGGAACCGATGCAAAGAAACGTTCCAAAGTTTCAAAAGTTTCAAAAATACCTGAGGATGACCTGTGGAGCAGGTAGAAAATGTTTGTAGGAGAATAAATGTTAGTTCTCAGATACATAAGGTGATTGTGTCATTGTTCTTTTTCATTTAAGTTTGATATTCCAAATGAAGAAGACCTTCAGAAGTAGGTCGAAATACTGTTAAATATATTGCTAGAGTTATACAAGGTTCAATGCTTCTTTCGTTTGGTTACTTCTCCAGTTTTATCAAATTACTAGCAGACCCCGCCACGCCTTGTTGTGGCTCAAAATGTATCTATTATAAATGTATAACACTTCCCCCGTGGGGGGAAATTTTTCGAAAAATTTTTTCTTAGTGTACATTCTCTTGACGTACCCTATTAAAACGCAATCAAAAACGCAAAAACCCGCATCTAAAATAGTATAAATAGAAGCAGAGTTTTTTTACCGTAAGCTTACGGGGAAGGCTTACTGTAAAGAACTGTCCATCTCCCATGTTTAACGGAATAATATACAGCCTATGTCCATCCTGAAGTTCCATTCTAAATATTGGTGAAAAATTTTTGAAATCGGATGAGTAGTTTCGGAGATTACCCGCTACATCCAAACTTACTTACAAACATTACCTCTATAATATTAGTATAGTTATATAAATTCTCGTCCGCCATTTTTAATGAGATGTTTTCAACGTTAAATTTTGTTTTTATTTTATAAACTGCTGATTAATAAAGCGATGAATGGTCATCCAGGTCTAGGTCAGAGGATTCCAATATAGGTTATATGTATATACTGCATTAAAATTTTTAGTGTTTTATAATATGTAAGATATATTATTTCATTCTATTGTTGATAATCTATTAATACGATATCTTCAAGCATATTTGTTGAAAAATAATTTATAATAAATTTTACTTTCCCGGCTGTTATATATAACAGCCGGTAAAGTAAAAGGCATATTATGACATATCATTAGTGTGAGATTAATGGATCTGTAGAACCTCTTTTCAACTATGTAGAGTTATAACATCACAAAGCTGTGCTCTGATTAGTGTTTATATTTGTTTAACGATAAAAATACGATATTTATATAACAATTTGCATTTTTTTTTTGTTTGTTTGTTTTAGAGCGTAGCCTCAAATAAAAGGTCATTTCTGTAAATGAAGATTGTGTGTTTGTTAGTATGTCGCTGGTAGTTTGTAACGAGGGATTGTGAACACACATTTTTTTTGTATTTAATATATTTTTAACTAGCAGACCCCTCCACGCGTTGTTGTGGCTCAAAATGTATCTATTATAAATGTATAACACTTCTCCCTTGGGGGGAAATTTTTCGAAAAATTTCTTCTTAGTGTACATTCTCTTGACGTACCCTATTAAAACGCAATCAAAAACGCAAAAACCCGCATCTAAAATAGTATAATAGAAGCCAAGTTTTTCACAGNAATAAATATTGAAAATTATAACGAGATAGTTATGGCTAATAGATATATTATATTTTAATTATTAGATGTTATCGAAGCGAGAATTGGGATTTAGAGAGCGTAAAGAATCTATTAAATCTAATATAACAGAGTTAATTATATTGAACTTGCTTATTTATTAAGTGCGTTAGATAATCTATTAATTAAAAATACATTTAGACAAGTCTACGGTTTTTACTGGCTTATCGAACAAACGAATACGAATGCAGTGCCGGCCCGAGACAAGTTTTAGGATGGAGCGAGATCCTATTATGGCGCCCGGGGGTGGAACCCCGCCCACGCACTCGACCCACGCGCGTCTCAACAGATAAGGCCATTCACATACTGACCACACAGCAATTAAAATATCGAAAAGTGAAAAAAATATATTTTTTCCTTTACTTTTTTTACCACTGAGGCGCCCCCTAAGACTTAGCGCCTGGAGCGGCTGTTCCGTTCGCCCTATGGTAGGGCCGGCTCTGTACGAGTGGACCCTAGACCATCACTGACTGATTGCCCCTGGAAGTCGGCTTGTTACAAAAACACAGCTTCCCTATCATCAAATGTCACGGCACGCCCCTGCTGTTATATATAACAGCCGGTAAAGTAAAAGGCATATTATGACATATCATTAGTGTGAGATTAATGGATCTGTAGAACCTCTTTTCAACTATGTAGAGTTATAACATCACAAAGCTGTGCTCTGATTAGTGTTTATATTTGTTTAACGATAAAAATACGATATTTATATAACAATTTGCATTTTTTTTTTGTTTGTTTGTTTTAGAGCGTAGCCTCAAATAAAAGGTCATTTCTGTAAATGAAGATTGTGTGTTTGTTAGTATGTCGCTGGTAGTTTGTAACGAGGGATTGTGAACACACATTTTTTTTGTATTTAATATATTTTTAACTAGCAGACCCCTCCACGCGTTGTTGTGGCTCAAAATGTATCTATTATAAATGTATAACACTTCTCCCTTGGGGAGAAATTTTTCGAAAAATTTCTTCTTAGTGTACATTCTCTTGACGTACCCTATTAAAACGCAATCAAAAACGCAAAAACCCGCATCTAAAATAGTATAATAGAAGCCAAGTTCTTCACGGTAAGCCTTAATCCTGTCTCTCTCCCTGCGGGGGAATATCGAAAAATCCCTTCTTAATTAATGTATATTCTGTTGACGTATCCTATTAAAACGCAATCAAAAACGCAAAAAAACCGCATTTAAAATAGTATAAATAGGAGCAGAGTTCTTTATGGTAAGCCTTAATCCTAACCATCTTCCTTCAGTGGGGGGAATTTCGACTTGTATATTATATAAAAACACGTGCGTATTCGAATGCAGCGTTGTGTCAAAATTTCAAAGGAATCGGTAGGAACAAACGAATATTACATTTTTATTTATATAGATAGATAGATGATCTGCTTTAGTTCATTTTCAAAGAAAAGCAAACTTAGGGCGTCGTACTTGTAGCGCCATCTGTTGGACATAAAAGCCTTAATCCTAGATGATATCTTTTAATTTATATGAATGTTTAACGGAATAATATACAGCCTATGTCCATCCTGAAGTTCCATTCTAAATATTGGTGAAAAATTTTTGAAATCGGATGAGTAGTTTCGGAGATTACCCGCTACATCCAAACTTACTTACAAACATTACCTCTATAATATTAGTATAGTTATATAAATTCTCGTCCGCCATTTTTAATGAGATGTTTTCAACGTTAAATTTTGTTTTTATTTTATAAACTGCTGATTAATAAAGCGATGAATGGTCATCCAGGTCTAGGTCAGAGGATTCCAATATAGGTTATATGTATATACTGCATTAAAATTTTTAGTGTTTTATAATATGTAAGATATATTATTTCATTCTATTGTTGATAATCTATTAATACGATATCTTCAAGCATATTTGTTGAAAAATAATTTATAATAAATTTTACTTTCCCGGCTGTTATATATAACAGGGCGATCGATCAAAAAATGACCCCCAAGATTTTTACATTTGTAGACTTAGGACATCTTGAAACGTCGAGACTTGCAAAATAGATCGGGTGTAATTTCTATATGTATGTATGTATGTATGTAGAGCCGTAACTAAGGTATGGCCAATGTGGCCCCCGCCATAGACTCCGATTTAATAAAGGCGCCAACCAGGTTTCGAAATAATATGTATTCGAAATTAATAACAAAAAAATTTTTATTTTTATATTTATATTTATATAGTATTTAAATGTCATTAGATAATTTTTTGAAATAGAATTTTTTTAGAATAAAATTATAAAGGAGCCATTTTTATTCTTGGCCATAGGTGTCCAAAATCCTAGTTATGGCTTTGTATGTATGTATGTATGTATGTATGTATGTTTGGATGGATGGATGTTAGTGTGTGGGGGACGATTTTGTTCACCCTGTTTGAAGCTTTATAACTCCCTGTGTTTTTGTCAAAGATTTCTGAAATTTTGCAGGGAGGTTTGTGTATTTGGGGAATTGATGCTATTAAATTTTGATGGTTAAAGGTCAAGGGAGAGACAATGGAGGTTCGTGTGTATCTCCAGTAGGGTTGGACTTAATGACAATTTTACTTGTTATTAGCATTTACAATTTTTTTATAAAACTCATCCCTACCCTCAAAATTAATCTTTTTGCCGTTTTATAACAGTAAAAAATATATAATGTTTTTTAGTAAAATGTGACAACAGATGGTGCTACCAAATGTTGCTGGGAAAGTTGAGCAACTTGTTTCTACATTTCTTTTTTAAATATAAGTTTTATAATATCAATATCTTTTCTCGTAAACTACTATTTTTTATCAAAATGTTGCTTTTTTTATCATTAAAATTTCTACTTGCAATTGAAATTTTAACTAACTATAAAGTTAGTTAATTTTTAATTTGTAAACTTTCTAAAGGAGTAATTTGTAACGTTTCTTGTAAAGTATTCTTAGGAAAACCATACTTACATGTCTGTCACAAATTCTTTTTAATCCAGGTTTCTATTAGTAATTAGGAAAGAGTGAATAAGTGCTTTTTTTTATCAAACTTCAAAAAAAATATTAATTTTATAAGAAATAGAAATTGTGAGATTGCGTGATGCTAATTGATACGATAAAGTTAGCAATTAGGAATTCTTCACAGGTTTATTTTAGAACATTTTTCCATTAGTATTTTACGAATTCGGATCTGGTTTACATAATCAAAGAATTATCATTAGTTGTTTAATTAAATATTTGATTAAACTATCGTTGGTTGGATTTAGTGGAAAAGAAACGATGAAATTATTTTTGAAAAGATATTTTTACCGTTTTCTCGGCGTCAGAGCAAAACATATTCGTTGGATGAGACTTTATATTTTGGAATAAATTCTAAATAGACCGGAATGTGTTTTTTAACATTTATTTGCGATTTTATAAGGATGCGAAACGAACTTCCGTTAAGACCAGGAAGGTCACGACCGACCTTTCTCTGAAATATCCGACACCCACGAGTAGAAGTGGGGTAGGCCCTTACGGTCGATAAATTCATCCTGGTTCCGAGAGATTAGTAAAAGTATCGAACGGGATGAGTCAAATTACCAGTTTCTACGAACTGGTCAAAGCCGTAAAACAAAATAACGGGTTCGTATATTAATTTAATTGATCGAATCTTTATTTTCTAATAAATATATATGGTTGTCACTTTTTTTTTTTATTATACATACATATAAATAAAATTATATACATATATATATATATATATATATGTATTTTTTTACAGCATCGATTCCCTGAGTGAGCAAGAGATAGAAGTGAGTCTTTTTGAAATCATTTTGTCTCTTATTGTATTTGTAAATTATTATCGAATAATAATTGTAAAATTAAATTGAACGCGCCAAAAGTATCTCTCAACTAAATTTTACCGTTGACCTGTTTATTTATTTATTAATTTGCTGTAATAAAATTAAATCTACCAGTTCGACTTTAATTTGGCATCGCCGCGTTTTGAGGAAAAAATATATATATTAAAATTTAATATAACCTATTTTGTTAGGTACAGAAATAGCCGTATGATTTTTGTTTTCTCATGAAACAATTAATATTTTGTCGAATGAAGATTAAAACATTTTTGTATCAAGGTCCAAATGTATTGACATCTAGTAGAATGACGTCACGATTAGGCAAATTTCATTACGGTATCGTTTGCGTTGTTAAAATTTCTTTTTTCGATTTTTTCTTGTAAAGTGTTGTAATATAAAATTGGCCACTCTTTTTGTTCCTAAAGAAAATTATTAATTTTTTTTACGTTTCCTAATCGAAAAACGATCTTCAGAAACGTCATTATAAAATTAGTATTTTTAATACAATTTTATTTCGAATTAAGAAAGTGTAAAAAGTGGATTAGGATAAATATTTAAATAATACTTCGTTTTTACGAAACGAATTTCGTCGCACGTCGACCAAAAGATTTGATTTGATCCTCTGACATTCGGTGTTCTTTTTCTTGCAACGTAGAGTTCTAGAGAAGTATTCGATCGAAATAATTTTTATAAGTGAAAGTCGGTTTCAATAAGCGCTCTTTGACGTTGCCCATTTTTAAAACCTTCCACCACTGCAAATATCTGACAAAATTTTCACTATTCTAATACAATATTTTCTTTTCCGTAATTTGAATACCGTGTTATGTCATCTTCGAAATAACTTTGATTAACGGATAAGGTGCTAATTTGATAGTTGATATATTTTTTGGTCGGAGTGTTTTAGTGTTAAGTGGCTTTGACAAATCCTGCATTTTATTACTTTTTAAACTGTAGAGTCTAACTTAGATGTGAGTTTATTTAAACGTGGCCACCTTCCCCTAATCTGCATTATGTCTATTAACTTTCTGGATGTTTTCCTTAGCTTGTTTCTGAAGTTTACAGCATCCATTTGTTTTTCTCCATTCTGGCAATTTGGTTCTGATCTTCCTGTTAAAAATGAGCTTTGCTGGGAAGGTTCCAGTTGTCCAATTAGGAGTTATTCTGCATACACATAGAAATGTTAGGAGTGCATCTTCCTTATTTATTCCTTTTAATCTAGCAGCCCTGAAGACTTTTAGAAAGAGAGAATTTAATCATTCTACTTGGCCATTAGCTTGCAGTCAATAATCGTGAGTCTTATTATAATTCCCAGAAATTCCTTTTCCATTCCAAATTCTGATGATCTAAACTGACTTCCATTATAACATGTAATTGTTAGTGGCTAGCCATAAGTACAGAAAACAAAATGTAGCCAATTAGCAACTTTCTGTGCAATTATAGAAGAGAGAAATGCTAACTCAATCCATTTGGAATAGTAGTCTACCAAAACAGGGTGGAACAATTCAAAAAGAGCTGAAAAAATCTAAGGCTAGATGTTGCCAAGCTGTTATAGGTTCACCCATAGAATTTTCATTTTAGCTGGCATGCTCGACAATCTGCAACTAGTTTTTTGACATGAATATGTTTTTAAATTTGGTCAATATACTGGACTGAATTTAAAGACCAAACTACAAAACCTCCAGATTGTGCTTGTATTTCATAAACTATAAATTATAATCTAATGATTTAAATTTTGTTGGATAGAGGGTTTATATCCATATCTAAAATGGGGATAGGGGTTGTGCAGCAGTGAGAGAGGAGGAGTAGAATTTGCATTTGAACACTGAAAATAGTGATGCCACATGGCATTTTGGGCAGTGTAATTTTGGATTGTGAAAAGATAGAACATTGAAATTTATGTCAGTTTATAGAGAATAACAGGATCTGCAATATTATTTAGCAATAATAGCCAATAGAATAAAATTTGTAAATTGAATGTTATCAAGCTTCTACATTTGCTTCTAATCTGAGGACTTATCACACCTTTTGGAGAATGTTTTCAATTGGACATCAAGAGACTTTTTTAACTGTTCTACTTTATTAAATATGCATTTTTGACAGTTTTGTCCCTCTTTAGTTTTAAATTAGATACTTTTCAGGTTAAAAGTTCTTTTACAATACTTTTACAATTACATTACTTTTTTAAAAAAAAGAAAAACTGTAATTATAGGACATGTGTGTATATATACAAAATTTTTGATTTTGCTACACTGTATAAGAATACACTCACATTTGGTGAAGATTATACATTAAATAAACATTTTTTCTCTTTTTATTTTTATTTCATTCATTTTTATTGGGTTTGAATTCTCCCGAGACCTTTTCTAAGGATATCTTAGATCTATAAATATAATTTCTAAAATATTATTAAATTGGCTTTTTTATTTCTTAATAAAATTAAATTTTAAAACTTACTCATTCTACAAGGGAAATTTTAACTTTTAGTTTTTATTTATAGAATTTTTCCTATAAATATATATATTGTAGTATGTTCTAAACACATGTATTTGTTTTTAATTTATCATTTAAGACCTACTCACATTTTTTCTTTTACAATAATTTATTGATTTTATTATCTTTTATTAGTAAAATATATATTTCTTCTTTATATGTATATTCTAAAAAATTTAAAAATTATATTATTTCTCTCTTAAGAATTCCCTTTTAAAAAATTGACTTGGAATGTGTTAACTTTGAAACATTAAATGATGAAATAAGAAAAAAATAACAATATTATAGTCACAATTCATTGGCTGTTCCTCTAGTAACACAGACGGATTCACAACTTACCCAATTGTGGTTGTGCCCCTGTATACAATCCACTCTTTCTTAAAAACTCTCTCTCAGTTCCAGACAACTACAATTCTTTTGACACTATATTTCCTGAATCAGGCAAGTTTCCAAAGAAGATTTGACAAAGTGGGCAAGAGAATATTCTAAAATCCCATTTTCTGAATGAATAGTATGAAGATATATCCTATGATCAAATCCAAGAGAAACCTCTCATAAATGAATCATTCAAGTGCAGACATATCAGTTTTTTTTTTTAAATCTTTAAAGTCTTGAGAATTTTTAAAAAAGTGAATCTCAATTCTTGAGAATCCAAAAAGTTTGGGAAAACACCATCCCTAGTCTCAATATACAACCCAAGGATGTGCAAATATTTATACTTACAATATACAGTACATGTACATGCTGAGGAATGATGGCAGGAAATTTTATTCAAATTTTCATTTTGATAATTAAACTATTAAGTTTCTGTAAGAGCACAAAACTTTGCTAGTACAGTCGACCCCCCTATAATACTGTTGATTATTCCATTTTATATGAATTCCATCTTGTACGAGTCACTTAGATTTTACAAATACATGTGCCAGGCTGTGAATGGCACACGTATTTGTAAAATCTTACCTCTCAAGATGACATGTACAGTACAAAGCAAAGTTTGAAAGAAGTAAATGGTAATAGAATGAGACCAAATAGGGGAGTATATTTAACTGAAAAGTAGCAGTGGATCAAAGCAAAAAGGATGTACTGTACAAACAATTTATTACTCTGTTATGTGCCCATAACATTATTTTAAATTTTAATTAAATATTTTAAATTAAAATGGTTGTCATAATTATTTTTGCTAACTAGTATTGGAGAATCTGTCAAAGAAACATTTCATGATGAAGTGACATCTTTTGCAAACAGTTGCCATAAGTTTGCAACACCCAAATTCTGTTACAAGACCCCAAATGGTGATGTAACTCATAGTTTGAGAAGCCTTGCTATAGATAATATAGTCTATCTTCAACTTTGATTCTTTAAAAATTGTTTGTTACTATGCAATGCTCTGATCAATGTTGGCAGTCTCTGCATAATCTCGCCAATTACAAAATATGACTGACTTTGTAGATGCATTTTGAAATAATCCATAAATTTATGTTTTCTTTGCTTAATACTTCTGAAAACATGACATATAATATTGCTTTTAACAAATTTTTTGTCAAACTTGTGGAGAAGCTCTTCATGAGATAATGAATTTAAATTCATAATTTTAAAGGTTTCAAAAATTATTTTATTTCCTCTCCTACAAAAGCAATAAACACTTTTTCTCAACATTGCCACCATTCTTGAATTGTTCAAATAATAGGAGAATTTTCTTTCTAATTTTTCCAACAACTTCTCTTGTTTTTCCTACCCAAGAAAATTTCTTTATTGATGATAAAAGCAATTGTAAAGCCATCATGTACAGTACCTGGTATGACATCAGTAAAAAGTGTAAATCCTCATTGCAATTATGAAGCAGTTCCAATAACAGAAAGACTAAGTTAGTTAATACATATTGTTATTACATCATGGCTTAAGGAGGATTCTTTCAACTTTCTATTGATTATCCTTATACAAAGGGAATATCTTGGTATTCTCCAAATTGTAATGACATCTGCTGTTCACTACAGTGGCAATTTTCAAAAGAGAACCTATTTTTCATACATTATAATAATTATTATTATTTAAATATCCAGAATAAAATTCATTTTATTTGCACATTATATTGGCACAGGCACATTAATTTTATTTAAGGAAAAATTAAAGAAAAATTTTGATGGTTAAAGGTCACTGGGGTGGGGAGATAGAGGAGGGGTCATGTCATATCTAGATAGGTTGAACTTAATGATTTTATTTGTTTATAACATTACAATTTTTTTTTATCTTTATCTTCAAAATTAAAGCTTTTTGCCATTTTATGATAATTAATTAAAAATATATAAAAAACTAGCAGATGAGCCCAGTGTTGCTCGGACAAAAGGTAACAATAGCAAAGATTAAGATTATTAGATCAGATTATAGCTGATCTTACTTGTTTTCACTGAGTGCAAGAATTAGGTCCCCCCATCTTCCAAGACTTAACCCCCTTGCAAGTTTCCAATTTTTGATATTAATGTAATTAAACATAAAAAATATTAAAACTGGAAAAAAACGAAAGAAATGCGTTAATTTTGAAGAAAAAGCTTCAAACTTTATTTTCCATTGTCTCGTCTTTCTGCGAAATTTGACACTGATGAGTCATTATGTTTACAGCTGGATGACCTTGAGAACCTCTGGTGTCAGATTTCCCGGGACATTCTCATAGACGTCTCGGGAGGACACGGGTTTAAAGTAGGGTGAATACTAGCTGGCGGTATATTTTTAAATATTTTAAAAAAATTAAAATTTTATTGCGATTTCCGACCCCTCGATTTAATTAAACTTATATATAATAAAATATATTAATTAAAAAAATTAAAAAATTATTGGAGGTCGTTTTTGACATCAGAAACTAGCTTTAAATAACTTTACCGAAGTAAAATCCGTGAACGATTTTACTTTAGAACGATTAATTAAATTTGATAAAAAAAGTCACATTAAAAAACAATTAACGTTAATCGCGCAACATTAAAGGTTGATTAAAATCGCGATAAAATTTTTTCGCACGGGTAAAAATTTTTAAAAAAAATTTTGAGACCTAAAAAACATCCAAAAATTGAAAAAAAAATTTTTTCAGGGCCCAAATGCCCGAGTTTTATGTAACGCTATGTAACTTGCCCGAGTTATCTCGGGTTGAAACTTTTTTATGATAATAGAAATACAAAAATCAGTCATGCAGTTTTAATAAAAATACATAAAAGAGATTAAAAATGTCTTCACTTTTGCTATGTCCAATCATCAGGAACAAAAGTCTTCCACAGCAGAGATAATCTTTCTTTAGAGGCTACACCTCTGTAAAAAACATGCAAAACAGACTAAAAGTTCTCCAGTGACAATCACAGAACAATTAAAAATACAATATTTTTGTTTGATTCTGATGAAACCGTGTTGTTGTTATTAAGCTGTTTCTTTGCAGACACACTAAGGTGACATATATCAACACTTGGCAACTTATTGACTATTTATTCAGTTGGGACGCCTTTTACATTACGCGTTTCGGGCATTGGCCCCTCTTCNAAGTTGCCAAGTGTTGATATATGTCACCTTAGTGTGTCTGCAAAGAAACAGGAAAAAAAATACAATATTTCTTTTGTATTTTTTAGTCTCTTTCACATATTTTTATAAAGTGTAAATTCATCAACCCTTTTTTACAACAGAATGCAGTTTTATTTTCAATAAGTACAAGAAACAAAATCTCTTATTACACAACCAACTGGACAAGCACAGAACACAATAGCATATCAGGAACATGTGTCTCCAAGCTAGTCCTATTGATGAGTCAACTAAAGGAGCCCTGAGTAGTTCAGGTTGGTTCATAAAAGAGTTGAACTCAGCGTAAAGGAGGAGAAGACAGATGGGAAAATACATGAAAAGATACATATTTTTCAAGTAAAAAGTTTCAAATACAAATACATTAAAAATAATATTTAGACAGTACTTCAAGAAATGTAGGGGACTAGCTTAGTCTCACTAGTCCATTCTCAGCATTCTACTGGTTCACTACATCTTGGCCCAGCAGAACACTAGATATTGGTATTAACTGAGTAGAGTACATTTCCAACACTCAAATAATAATATAATATTCAATAAATAAATATCAATTAAAATATTTATTTAGAAAACATAATATTAATTTAATAATAATTATTTTTTTTATTTTTGCAGGCAAAATTTAATAGTTTATCTTTAGCTTTCAAAACAGATAAATTTACTTTGTCCAAAAGATTAGAGTTGCATCAGAGACAAAGAGATATTGCTGAAAAAAATGTTGAGACTGAGTTGAATGCATTGAAAACATTGCTTTCTGTAAGTAAATTTAATGTTAAATTTTATTATTTAAATTTTAATTAAATTACAGTTTATTTATATTGATTATAAAGTTTTAATGTGCTATATAATTATAAATTAAGGAATTAGGTCATCATTGTTATGAAGGAGAATCAAAAGAATTAATTTCTAAAATGCAAAATCATATTGATATCATTGAACAGTCAACTTCCAGAATATCTTGTCGTTCAGAAATTTTTGGAGCTGTACAACAGGTAATATCTAATAATGATTTTTATAATATATAATACTTGAAAAATTTTTAATTACAAAAAATAGTAAAAAATATTTCAATGACACTTTTAGTTTAATGCAAAATGTTAAAAGCAAAACATAACTTCTGAGTATTTTTCATCTTCAAGATTTGTTGAATAGTAAAGTTCCAGACATCAACTTGCAAAACAAAATTTCTACTTTATATAAATTTGAACATATATAAAGTATAACATTATTCCAATAGCATTAATAGAATGCAAAAAACACACACACATACAATATGTGTATAATTTTTTTAAAAAAGGCACCGTGTGTGTGTGTGTGTGTATATACGCACACAGTATATTATGTTATATATATATAACATAATATACTGTGTATATATACACATAATATAACATAACATAATATAGCATTATATATATATATATATATATAATGCTATATTATGTTATGTTATATTATGTATATTATGTTATATATATATACTGTACCTTTTTCAAAAAAGTTACTGCTGGTACACATACTGTATATGGTGTGAGATGTGAAAGGAATTTCATTAACCCACTAAGACAAACATCCAATGACTAAACACACAGTAGATGTGAGAAACATTTATTTATTTATGTGTGATATAACTTTATACAGGCTCAATCAAGGATGCCAACTCTAGGACGGTTGCTCTGTCAGTAACTTTAAACCTGTTTGTTGGCAAAACAATTACCAAATTAATAAATGACCATAACACACCAAATTGCGATAATACTAACTTATACTCTCATCCCCAAGAAGGAAAAATTAAGGAGATTAGAAAGTTCTAGAAGGTACAAAGAATGGGAAAATGTAAGAACAGAAAGATAAAAACAGACATATGGCACACAGCTACAATGGTAACTGAATATATATATATATATATGTGTATATGCAGTAAAACTTGTGTAAACCAGAATTGTATGGTACCAAATATTTTTTTGTCATTTGGCAGATGTTTGTTTTGAACAGGTTTCAGATCTTTTCCTTTTTTTTATCTTTAAACTACAACAGATAAATGTTACTTGGTTGTGTTTGTATTTTATAGTGAAATCACTTACATATATAAAGAAATTTTATTACTAGGATTGATTCAAATTAATTCCAAAATGATTCCAACTAAAGATAGGAGTATTTGAATGAAAGAATTGGGAACTGTTTTATTGCAAAAAGTTCTTGTTGTTCCCAGGAACTTGTGCTAGGTATTCAAATGAGCTCACACAATGGCAAACAAGCCAATTCTGGTTGTTATGTCAAACAAACAGTAGTGTCTTGCATCAGAAATTCTAATCTCATGACAGTAATCAATTTATTTTGTGATATGACTTTATGAAGAATTTTAATACTCTGATTAATCATTTACATCAATCTCTAATTACCAACATGTTAATCAATTTCTTTTCAAATACTTGGAACTAATTAGTTACTAATTATTCTATACAAGTCAAATTGTGCTGCTCAAAGTCAAAGAGCTTTATCTCCATAAAAATTTAACATGTTGTGAACTTGTCATCATACTGAATTAGTATCCTTTTTTTGATTCTGTAATTATTACAGAACATATTTTCACATGGAATATTGGGGGGCAGTGTCAATGAAAAATACTAATTTGGCATGATGACAAGTTCATAACTTGATTTTAAATTTTTTTGAAGATAAAACCTTTTTTCTTTGGACAATAGAATTGGTGTCACCTTTTTTTATTGTTTACATGAATTACATTCATTGCTTGTTCTAAAGAACTTGATTCTAGGAGACTAATCTAATTCTTGAAAAATTCTTGATTCTTAAAAGTATTCAATTCTACTCCTGGTTAATATCATACTAACCAGGGGCTTATATTAACAAAAACATGTCTGTTGTGTTTCTTTTACGAACTGGGCAAAAAGTCCATAAAAATTTTTAAGCATTCCTAAAATATGGAAGAATTATCAGAATGAAATGCAGTTTTTCATGGTAGGTATTGTCGGCATGGAGACGTTTTTGTTGATGGGAAAAAATATGTTCCAAAAGTCACTGCTAGGTAGCATTCTTCTATTTTTTTATGAATGTTTAAAGTTTTTACAGACTTTTTGCTCACCCTATATTTATTTTAAAATATGCACCAGCACAGAACAGTAATTTTAAGTTAACAAATCATTCCTGGAATACAGTTTGTTGTTTATGCTTTGCAATGACTAATACTTAGAGAGGCAGCTTTACTTATTTGTCTACAAATAGAATTTTAATTTTCCACTTTATTTGGGTTATGTTGTTTTTTGTATCCAAAACCATTTTTCTGCATTGGAAAGGTTTCCAGCTTATAGTAAAATTTAACATAGAAAATTGCTTTATTCCAAAGAAAGTTTTGTTTCTGTTGTATTCAAATTTTGCTTTGGAAGGCTTTATTGTACATAATATATATATATATATATACATACACTGACAGGTAAAAACTTGTAGCATCCTGAGAATGTTTGTGTTTGTTTACTCAAGGTCACACTTATGTACTGTACTGTACTGTATATGATCATTACTTGCGTGCAGGATCAGCCCATGAGTTTTTGCACACTAGCACACCAGGCAGATTTCAATCTTGGCTCTCTCCCCTTTTACTTATTAAATGCCTTGTGCATTGAGTCACCTGCACACCTACATGCAACAGCTCTGGATGTATATATAATATGTCTAATTAAAATAATTGATAAATATTTTCCTTTAACTGATGCTGGCTGTGGCACTCCTAAAGTTTTCAGCCCTAGGTGACTGCTTAATATGCCTATAGCTCAGGCTGGTTTTGCTTGCATGAATGCAGAAACTACTCTCAATCACTAGTGCACTCTAGAGCAACGGTCGGCAATTGGTGGTTCATGATGTAATTTTAATGGTCTGCAAAGAATTCAGACATTATTTAAATTTCTAATTTATTTAAATTATTATTTAAAATGGATAAAAAATATAACTAAAGCTAGTAAAAAAAAAGTACGACAAAAATAAAAAATTTTGAATATTTATTAATAGTTATAGTAATGGTGTGCGCAACTGGTTTGTGCAGAAATGTTATACTCTTGAAAGTATAATTTTCAAATTGTCTTATTTTATTTCTTTGTCTATGGTTTCCACCTCACTTCATCTGGCAACGGCACTGAATACAACGAAGAGTAAAACTGTTATTTCAGTATTTAATCCATTCAGATATATGTGGCTGTATATCATTTGCTTTTTATGCAATCATATGAATCATCTCATTGTATAAACATACAATTAAGGTAAAGTACTCAATAATTCATAATTAAGGTAAAGTACTCAATAATTCCCAGTGATTCATTTAATCTTTCTAATATACGTTTATGTACTTCTTTAACCCTTTTAAAGCCATGACGTAAAGATGACAGTTTTAATGTTATTTATAATTTAGGATATCCTAAATTTTGATTATCGATATCCTAATTATGATATCGATTATTGAGAAATGAGAATTAAAAATAATGGCATTGAGGAAAAGCTTGATAGCAAAATATCAAAATTTTATAATACAACGGTAGAAACATGTTCTTGTTCATTTTGGAATTCTTTTAGGGCACCATGTCATCATATTCTTATGATAAGAAAATATAATAATTTGGACATATTTTCAAAAATTTGCTTTCATGCAAGATATATTATTTCAATTGAAAATGCACTAAGTATAGATACAGGTGATGTAAATGTATACATTGATGATCATATTAATGATGAAATTTTTACTGATGATTTTGATTGTCCCAACAAAATATTATCGGATAGGGAAAAATTTAATATGACACTGGCGATAACTAAAAATATTGCAGATGTTTTTCTAATTATGGAATGCAAACCTTCAATAAATATGTAGAGGAATTAAAAGTAATAGAAAGCAAAGCAAGAAGTGGAATTTCTCTTTTTGAACATGAGATTAGTAGGCTTAGTACAATTGAACCAGAAGAATCTGAAGAACAAATTTGGTCTAATAATGAGCCCTGTTCAAATCAATCAAATAAAAACTTAAAATTCAAAACTAAAATTAAATCCAAAGGACATCTGAAGAGAAAGACTAAGCAGACTACCTTTTACAAAAAGAAAATTAAAATACAGAATAAAAATAATATATTTATTTTACTTTATTGGTATACCTATCAATCTAATGTAAATTTCATTACCTATATTTCACTGATTTAATGCTACTTCATAGTTTATTGATTACTTTATTGAACAACATTGTAACTGAACTATAATAAATAAAACTATAATTATTTATAATTGCATAGTTATTATCAAAATATTAATTGTAATAGCAGTGCATACAGTCAGTATCTGGCTGGAATATAGGAATATACAGTCAGTATGTATAAATAGCCATGGCCTTAAAATTATACATCACATTTTTAATATATTTAAGCAATCAAAATTATTAGGAATATATTATTTTTGTATGGTTCTAGGATCAAAAAATTAAAATGGATGAAGAGAAGCAATTGACAATTTTACATTTTTTTCACAATGCTTCAGGTAAACATGAGTTAGTTGAAGAATCACAAGGGCCCTCACAGATTCCATCATCATCAAGCACCAGCTAGAAAGAAGATAAAACTGAACATCAAGAAAACAAAAAATTTAAAGTTTTAAGACAATATGATCATGATTATTTGAAATATGGTTTTTTACAAGAACCTAGAACTGAACTTGATCCACGACTGTTTTGTGTCATATGTTCTATGAGTTTATCCAATGAAGCCATGAAACCATCAAAACTTACCAGACACCTGACTAAACATCCAGATTTAGCTAGTAAGTCAATCAAACATTTTCAGAGATTACATGATAATTTACAAAAGTAAATATATCCTTTAAATACACTGGTGGAAATTGAAAGTGTTACACCCAGATGGAATTGGTGGAAATTCGCAAAACTTGGTAAACATGTACAGTACAGGAGCATACCCAGAAGAAATAAACACAAAATGAAATGAATTACACAAGTTTTATTGCTGTTTGGTACATGTTT